GTGTGTGTAAAATTGAGCTTGTAGAATTTGCACACATTACATATAAATTCTATACTAAGCATACCAAGAGGATATCATATGAAGCTTGATCTTGATAGATTTGATTTGCACATGCTTCAATATCAGTGTAGCTCATTTTCCTGGGCATACAAACCAAAAATACTAAAACCAATATTAGTCGTAAATTGTTTGTTAAATCATCATTAAAACAAGAAGGCCAACAACTGTTCGGGTTCGAACAGACACAACTCAACCGAACAGTTGCGACCCTTTGTGATTAGATGCGCCCATTAAACTTTAGTTTTGGTCCATCTTCCGACTTGAATATCTCATTCATTCGGAAACCGATTTGGATAAGTGAGTATACCAGATTCATTGCCTTTGAATGAAGAACGCGTTCTAACCCACTCCCATCCATTTTTAACAGTGGGACCCACCAAAAAGTTTAGCTCAATTTGCCCAAAAATTCACTTGGAGAAATCCAAGTTTCCCCAAGAATTTCAAAACATCCAACACCTATTATTTAAATCCCACTTATTTGTAATGGATATAATATACAACATATACATGCTAAAAATTGAACTTATCAAAGTACCCTTATCATCCAAATCTTACCTTTAGCGAGCCTTGCTTTGAACTTGCTACATAAACAAGAAACTAGTTTGCCTTGACTGCTCTGTTGGGACAAACCCGGGGCTCAATAGAGCAGGGTCGCAGCAATAGTAAAGCAAAAGTAGAGATAAAATGATAGACACACAGATTTACGTGGTTCGGCACTTGATTACCTACGTCCACGGGCAAGGATAGAAGAATCTACTATGAGGAGAAAACTCTGGAGTTACAAACTCTCTCTCTTTACAAGGAGAAACTCTCTCTATTTTTTCTCTCTCACTCTTCTTATATAAGAAGCTGTTCTGGGATGAGATTTCCTTAAGGATTTGGAGCCCTATTTATAGTTTTTTGAAAAATACTATACACAATAAAATATTAATATTTTACTGTAGCAGTGGGCCCCACCATTTTGTTTTCTTTTTCCTTTTCAACATTGGCTGCTGGATGTGAAGGGTTTTTTCGGTGCTTGGCTTCATTAGGCGCCTAACAATCTCTCACTTGAAGATTTGATTGAATATCAATCATATCTTCACACCATTCTTTCTATCTTGCCATCTTCATGTTGCTTACGTCTCTGACAGACCACAAGAGGATCGACACCAAGTAAATTTGTCGGTATGGACTGCTTTTGTCAAAAAATCTGCTAGGTTGTCCTTGGTGTGAATTTTCTGCATATCCACTGTTCCTTCTTCCACTTTCTCACGAACGAAGTGATACTGAACTCGAATGTGCTTGGTCTTTGAATAAAAGGCTGGATTTCTTGCCATGGATTTCTTGCCAAATGCAAAGCACTCTGACTGTCACAAAATAGAGAAATCTTCTTTTGTTCATAGCCGAGTTTCTCCAGCACCATCTTCAACCACATCGCTTCTTTACTAGCTTGTGTAGCTGCTACATATTCTGCTTCTGTTGTTGAAGTAGCCACAACTGACTGCAGTTTTGAAACCCAGCTTACAGCTCCGCCAGCAAGTGCAAACACATAACCTGTGGTGGATTTGCTATTATCACGATCACCTGCATAATCAGAATCAACATATCCACTGACAATAAAATCAGATCCCCCATAACATAATGCAACATTTGAGGTTCCTTGAATGTATCTTAGAACCCTCTTTACAGCATTCCAATGCTCTTTACCAGGATTCGCCATGTATCGACTAACCACTCCCACTGCTTGTGCAATGTCTGGTCTTGTACAAATCATCGTGAACATTAAGCTTCCCACTACTGATGCATACGGTACTCGAGACATCTCCATCTTCTCTTCTTCACTGCTAGGACACATCGTGGAGGATAACTTGAAATTAACAGGAAGTGGGGTAGAAATTGACTTACAATCTTGCATGTTAAAGCGTCACAAGATTTTCTTCAAATAGTTCTTCTGAGAAAGCCAAATCTTCCTATTAACTCTGTCTCGGTAAATTTGCATCCCTAGAATCTTGTTTGCAGATCCTAAATCCTTCATTTCAAATTCCCTAGCCAACTGAGCCTTTAATTCTTTGATACGATCTTTGTTGGGGCCTGCAACCAACATGTCGTCAACATACAACAATAAGATAACAAAGTTATTTTCACCAAACCTCTTGAAATATGCACAAGGGTCTGAATTAAGTCTGTTGTATCCAAGGCTCATGATGAATGAATCAAATCTCTTATACCAACACCTCGGCGCCTGCTTTAGACCGTACAGAGATTTGTTCAATCTGCAAACCAAGTTCTCTTTTCCTTTTTCTTCAAAACCTTCTGGTTGGAGCATGTAAATTTCTTCTTCAAGATCTCCATGAAGAAATGCTGTTTTCACATCTAGCTGCTCTATATGTAAGTCAAATATAGCGCTCATAGCCAGGACTATTCGGACTGTTGTTAGTCGCACTACAGGAGAAAATATTTCATTAAAATCAATACCTTCTTTCTGAGCATATCCTTTTACCACCAATCTAGCACGATACCGCTCCACTTGATCATCGCCATTTCGCTTGATCTTGTAGACCCATTTGTTTCCAATGGTCTTTCTTCCTTGTGGCAGTGACACAAGTTCCCAAGTCTTGTTCTTATGGAGAGCTTCAATTTCTTCCTGCATTGCTGCCATCCACAAAGATGCATCTGTGCCATTTATAGCTTCATGAAAAGTTGATGGCTCTCCATCTTCTGTTAGAAGACAGTATGCAACATTACTCTCCGTAATATACTCCGAGTGCCAAGTCGGTGGTCTTCTCTCACGAGTTGACCTTCGAACTTCTGGAGCCTCGGCCTCGACTGGTTCTTGTACATCATGCTCCGGTGTCGCTTCAGAAGAATTCGGATTATCTTCTACCTGAACAGCTACAGTCTCTGAGTCCTTCCTCGAACTGCTTTCTTTCTCTTCACTTTGTAGTTGGTTCTCTACAAAGATAACATCTCTGCTGATGATAACCTTGCGGGTAGTGGGATCCCACAGGCGATACCCCTTTACTCCATCAGCATACCCCAAGAATATGCATTTTCTGGATTTTGAATCCAGCTTTGTAATTTCTTGGGCATTGTACATTACGTACACTGGACTTCCAAATATATGGAGGTTGGAATAATCAGCTGGTTTGCCAGTCCACATCTCCATCGGCGTCTTCAATTGTATTGTAGTTGATGGAGATCGATTCACCACATAACAGGCGGTTTTTACTGCTTCCGCCCAAAAGACTTTTTCCAGATTTGCAGTAGCCAACATAGCTCTTGTTCTTTCCAACAGAGTTCTGTTCATCCGCTCTGTCACTCCATTTTGTTAAGGGGTATAAGCCGTACTGAATTGTCTTTTGATGCCTTCATGCTTGCAGAATGCTAGGAATTCACCGTCTGTGTATTCTCCTCCATTATCTGACCTTAAGCACTTGATCTTCTTCTCAGATTCAAGCTCTACCCGCGCTTTGTAGGCTTTAAAGACTGAGAACATATCCGCCTTCTTCTTGATAGGATACACCCAACATCTCCTGGAGTAATCATCAATAAAGGACACAAAGTACTTTGCTCCTCCTAAGGATGTAACTGGTGCTTGCCATACATCAGAATGAACCAGTTTCAGAATAGCCTTGCTTCTAGAACTCAGTCGATGTTGCTTGCTTGTAACACAATGCTCGCAGAATGGAAGAGCTACCGAATTAAGTCCAGGAAGCAGTTTCTGATCGGAGAGAACCTTCAAGCCTCGTTCTGACATGTGGCCTAGCTTGCGATGCCACATCATGGTTTGTTCTTCTCCACGGCTGGTTGATGCCACACATGAATCAGCTTCCTGCAGAGTCTCTCCCTTGAGCATGTACAGATTTGCAGCTATCTTTTCTCCTTTTATCACCACAAGCGCCCCTCTAACAATCTTCATGACTCCATTTTCTATATGAGTCTTGCACCCGAGCTCATCTAATTGTCCCAAAGACAATAGATTCTTCTTCAAGCCCTTCACATGTCGCACATCTTGAATGGTGCGTATTATACCATCAAACATTTTGATTTTGATAGTACCAATACCACAAATCTCCAAGGCATGATCATTCCCCATGAATACAGATCCTCCTGAGATAGGTTCATATTTGTGAAACCAATCTCTCCGAGAGGTCATGTGCCAAGAGGCTGCTGAATCTAGAAGCCAGACATCAGCAAACTTCTTTCTGCCTTCATCAACAGTGGTTGCTCCACTGAATAGAATTTCACCATCCTCTGACGTGCTGACAACGCATCCTTGAGATGTTGATGGCTCTGAAGACTTTTTATCTCCACTCTTCTTGTTGTGCCAACACTCCGATTTGACGTGCCCTCTTTTGCCACAGTTGTAGCATTTGATATTCTTCTTACTTCGTGATTTCGATCTACCATGGGCATGACTCCCACTGGAGCCACGTTCTGTTGATCTTCCTCTCGTCACCGACAAGGCCTTCGCTTGCTGCGAACTTGTCTGCCTGTCTTCCTTGTTCTTGCGCCGATTTTCTTCCTCCAGAACAGCGGCTGCAACATCGTCGAAGACTAGATTGTCCGTGAGGACGTTGTTCGTCAGGTTGATGATGAGTTGATCATACGAGTCAGGTAGACTCTGAAGTAGAAGTTCTGCACGTTCATTCGCACCAACTGTATATCCCAACGTTGTGAGTTGGGAGAACAGTGTGTTTAGGGTGTTGATGTGGTCGGTCATCGATGTAGATTCCTCCATCCTCAGAGTGTAAAGTCTTCTTTTTAAGAAGATTTTATTGTGCATGGATTTCGCCTCATATAGCTTTGTTAGAGTATCCCAGATCTCCTTTGCTGTCTTCTTCTCCTCTATGCTTGACAGCACCCCGTCTGCTAATGCCAGATGGAGATTTGCAATAGCATTTTCGTCCATCTCGTTCCACTTCTTATCATCTGTGATGTCGTCCGGCCTTACACCAATGGCTGCTAGACAATTATCTTTTCTCAAGATAGCCTTTATCTTCAACTTCCACAGTGAGAAATTACTCCCGTCGAATTTCTCGATCTTGAACTTCGCCGTCATTGCTTCTACCACGAACAGTAACTTCTTACTATTTCACGTAAATAGTACTGTATTTATGAACAGTAACCGTATCCATGAATAGTATCGTACTTATGAATAGTACCGTATTTGTGAACAGTGCCGTACTCGTGAATAGTACCGTCACCTCCAAAGGGTAAATGATAACCTAACTTATTTTCTGATATGGAGGATCCACTTTTGGTGGCAGCCACAGAGCATACGATAAGTAGATATATACAAGTACCCTAAGTTGGCTCTGATACCACTTGTTGGGACAAACCCGGGGCCCAATAAAGCAGGGTCGCAGCAATAGTAAAGCAAAAGTAGAGATAAAATGATAAACACACAGATTTACGTGGTTCAGCACTTGATTGCCTACGTCCACGGGCAAGGATAGAAGAATCTACTATGAGGAGAAAACTCTGGAGTTACAAACTCTCTCTCTTTACAAGGAGAAACTCTCTCTATTTTCTCTCTCTCACTCTTCTTATATAAGAAGCTGTTCTGGGATGAGATTTCCTTAAGGATTTGGAGCCCTATTTATAGTTTTTTGAAAAATACTATGCACAATAAAATATTAATATTTTACTGTAGCAGTGGGCCCCACCATTTTGTTTTCTTTTTCCTTTTCAACATTGGCTGCTGGATGTGAAGGGTTTTTTCGGTGCTTGGCTTCATTAGGCGCCTAACATGCTCCACACATGTACGCAATTTTTCATGCGATTATCACGTGCCAGTCCCTTTTAAAAGAGCTTTGCTACAGGGACCCAAAATATGTGACCAATAGAGGGGACAAGTGAGGTGTCTCCCTCCTATTGTATAATGAGTTGGCCATCATTAATGATGGCCAACTCATTATCCAATAGGTGGGAGACACCTCACTTGTCCCATATATTGGTCCCATATATTGGGTCCTTGAGGAATTTTTCCTTTTAAAAGGAATGCCAACTGTAAATTAATTAGAGGATTTAATAGCATGTGGCTCGCTTATTAGGCGAAGAAATACAAAACCGGCTATAAAACTTTTCCATTATTATTCATCCAGAGAATAAGCACTAAACCCTCAAAAGGGTTTGCATACTTTTAACCCAAATTTATGACTCATTATTTCTACGAATCAAAAGCGTGCAACATTAATCATCTTTTAACTCCACATTTCTATACTTAATATGTTTACTAAAGAAGAAATTTACAAAACAGCCTCAAACCATGTTTTAATTTTCAAAACCAACTCACTTTTTTTTAACCAAAATCGACTCACTTTTTGCCATGTCAGCTTAATCTCATTCCTAAACAGTCGGGGTTGCTAACCCCGACTGTTTAGGAGCTTATTAAACCCAAATTAGAAGCCTTAAACCCGATTTTTTATCTTTTAAATAGTTGGGGTTGGCAACCCCGACTAATTAGGAAACGAGATTAAGCTGACGTGGTAAAAAGTGAGTCGATTTTGGTAAAAAAAAAATGGACCGGTTTTGAAAATTAAAACATGATTTGAGACTGTTTTGAAAATTTCTTCGTTTACTAAAAAATATTGTAGTTCTCACGTTTATTTCATCCCCTCCTTTTCTTTTATTTCAAAATTTTGTTTAAAAAAATAAATTCAAACAAAAAAGTTATATTAAAAAAAAAACCCTTAACTCCGTATAAATAGCCTTCGCCGCTCGCTTCACTCTCTTTTTGTGGTTCTGCTGTCAAAATTTGGCGCTTTCTCTCGGTTTTCGAAGCCGAAGAAAATGTCGGGGATTCGCCGATTCGAGCTCGAGAAGGAGACGGAGCTCCGGATCGAGGTGGGCCCCGATTCCGACCTCGACGGTCGCTGTCGCCGCGCGGGGCCCCACGCGCCGACGATCTTCGGCGCACGCGAGGCTCCCTCTCGCCACCTGGATCCCGATCTCCGCCCACCACAACATCGCCGTAAGTTCGAAACCCTAATTGGGGGGTTTTCTCTTTTAAGTGGTTTCGTTCCTTTTTTTTTGGTTCTAAAACCCTAATTTTGTTCCAGATCTTCACTTGGAAAGGGGCTACGGTGGAGGTGGATGGAGTTAGTGAGGTGGAGTATGTTGCTGATGAAGTGAGTTCAATGGGATTTCTTGATTTTGGAAATTTTAGGGTTTGGGTTTAATTTTTTACCTTTATAGCCCCAAATCAACCCCATTTGCGAACTCGCCCTTCAAATTTTAGATATTTGCTAATTTACCCTCTAAATTCCACCACTTTGTGTGAGAATACACTAATATGGATGATTTGTAGAGTACATTTTTCATTAATTGATTGGTTTTGGTGTAGACACCGATGGTGAGCTACGTGAATGTGCATGCGGTTCTTGATGGGCGAAGGATTCGAGCTATCAAGGCTGCTGCTTCCGGCAGTGATATCAATTCAACGCAGGTATATGTAGCTTGTGAAAGAACTTTGTTGCGTTAAAGAAAAAGAAAAAGAACGGCAGAAATGAAGAAACAGAAAACAATGAAAAAAGGTGGAGATATGACATTTCCAGATAATGATTAAGTTTGTGATGACAAATTTATGTTCACCAGAAATTAACATGAATATGCTGTGTATTTGCAAATAAATGATGATGTCGGTTTTGGATGATATCTTCAATTGTCCTGGCTATATGTGCGGCCACAGCCAAATTCAACAACATAGAGTTCATCTCAAGAAGACATATCCCTTTAGTTTCAAGCACGATAAAGTTACTGGGTAGGTTATTCGTATTCCTTAGGCCAGGTTATTCATGTTTCTAGGATGATGTGGTTCGGTGTTTTCTGATGCTATATGCTTGCTTCTATGAGATATTTAATGTATGGCTATATGCCTACCTGGTACTTCTTTGTCCCTATGTCCTTTAATGAAAGAGAAACATGAAGGGTCAATAAGCTATTGGTTTCTGTGCCTATACGGACACATTTCTTTCATACCGCGTCTTTGGATGGTGTAGCTTTGTACTTCCTCTCTCTATTTGGAGTGTTTTAAGGGTCTGAAAATAACAATTTTTTTCTTGTTGATTATTTAATTAGTTAGTGACCAATTAGACTGGAGCTTTGGTTTATTCATCTTTAGGATAACATTTGTCCATCCATTAGCCTATTTTAAAGAGTTTAATGTTAAATGAGATATTGAATTGTATTTATTTGGGGTGAAATCTGCATTGGTGTTTCTTGGTTAAGTCTGATGCATACTCTTTGTTCGAGCTTTAAATAATGCTTGAGCAACTGAGTTACCCTCTCTAGGTTTTTTTCCCTTTCTGTTTGGTCTTGTACTTTCAGCTATGTTGTGCGGATACGGTTGCGGTGCGTGTGCGGACACGGGTGCAGACACAGGATAGGGCAAAATCGTAAAGGTTAGGATACGAGGACACAACTATATGCATGCAAATTAAAATTAATAATCTATAGATCGATATTGTTTTCCATTCACATGTTATGAGAACTAAAATCCTTGTAAATTGAAAGACCGCTCATATTTGAACTAGATATCCAAATTACCCTTTAAAATCATACTTATGAACTAGGTAAGAAACCTGCGCCGAGTCCAATTAGTTGCATAAATTTGAGGTGAAGTTACGATATATGAAGTTTATCACGAGTTTTATGAACTAAAACATGTGTTATATAATTGACTAATTGAGTACACATTTGAATAAAGGCATGTATATATTCAGGAGGAGTGTCCGACACAAACACAGATACGAGGACGGACACGGATGCACGAGCCTAGATGAAGTGTCTGGGTAACCTAGATTTTCAGTTTGTTGTAAAGTGTGCGTGAGTGAATGGTGATCAAATGAATTTTTACATTCTTTTAAAGTGATTAGAGAAGTATACATCTGTTTAATCACCTTGTTCCACGTGTGGGAAAGTGAAAAATTAGTTTCAATGTTCAGGTGAAATCAAGTTTGCTCGTGACATGTACCGTACATATAGTTCTTTTCTTTATAAAACTTTGGATCTATAGGTCAGGTTGCTAATTGTGGAATTTAGCTTTTCTGCATGCATTCTGACCCTTGACGTGCTTTACTATTGTTTCTGTTCTTTTCTCTTTCAAGGAATTTCATGCTTCAATTCTTTTAGTGATGCAGGGTCCAAGAGTAATGGTTGTAGGACCTACAGATTCTGGAAAAAATAGCTTGTCAAGTATGCTTCTTAACTGGGCCTGCAAACGTAGCTGGAAACCTACTTTTGTCGATTTGGATATCGGCCAGGGATCTATTTCCATTCCAGGATGTATTGCTGCTACTCCAGTTAAATTGCCAATAGATGCAGCTGGAAGGACTCCATTGGAATTGCCCCTTGTTTACTTTTACGGACACACCACTCCAAGGTACCCATAACTTGATAAACACTTAAATTCAATTTTCTTGCCCCAGCTTGAAATGTTTGATTTGTCACATAAGTTTTTTGCCAACATGACATTGTTTACTACACTGGATAATACTTGCTTACAATAAAATCCATTGTAAGATATCTAGTTCCAAGTATTGTTTCTGAATATGCTTTGTAACAGTACCAACATAGAGCTGTACAAAGTCCTCCTCAAGGAAATGGCTGAAACAGTGGAGCTACAGTTTTCCAAGAATATTGAATCTCGAGCTGCTGGCATGGTAATCAACTCGATGGGATGGATTGAAGGTGTTGGTTATGAGGTAGTTACTTGCATTTGAGTCCCAGTTTGTTATTTTCTCTTAATTATTACTAGTCTTTGTCTATAAACCCAAAGTTTTACCTTGATTTATGTTTAAACCTAAGTATTTTTATTTGTACCTTTAAACCCAATCAGCTTTCTCTTTTTGTTTTTGTAAATCCAATAGTATAATTCATAGTCAAAGTGTATTGTATTTATTCTTTTAGGAGGTAAAAACACCAAAATACCCCCAAATCTCCTTAAAACTCTCTCTCTCCTTAAATCTCTCTCTCTCTCTCTCTCTCTCTCTCTCTCTCTCTCTCTCTCTCTAACATATGAAATAAAAGCAAATTTTTTTTATCTTTTAGTATTATTAATTCTTATGAATTTTAATAAACAATCATTAGGAATCATGAGTCATCATGTGAAAAATTGTGATAAAGAAAATGATATTAGTGCTATAATTGTCTCAAATACGTACGTTACTTTATGCTAAAAAATAGGAGTTGAGGAATTGCGAGAATTTATACCTCAAAATACCAAGAAAGAGATGAATCATCACCAAAATTTAGTATTTAAACCTTGCGAATTAAGAGAGTTGAGGAATATTTAATGGGTTTATGAAAGTTAAAGAAGGAAATAAGAAAATTAATTGGGTCTAAAGATATAAAGAAAATTAATTGGGTTTAAACTTAAGTCATGGTTAACCTTTGGGTCTAAAGACAAAAACCCCTAATTATTATTTACTTTTTTTTGTGGATAATTCCAGCCTATACTTATACCTTTGTATTTATCATGTGCAGTTGCTTCTTCATGCAATTGACACTTTTAAGGCTGATGTAATTCTAGTCCAGGGACAGGTAACTCCAGTACATAATGTGCATTAGGTATTTATCCTCTCAATGAATACTATGTGAATATGTGTGTGTGTACATATGTACACACACATACATACATATACATATACATATATGTATATAGACACACACACATATGTATATATACATATGTATGTATGTATGTATATACACATATGTATATATGTAATATGTATACATATATACATATGTATACATGTGTGTGTGTATGTATATGGAATGATGGGTATGAGGTGGTGACTCATTTTGCTAAATGAGCTACCAAGACAGAGTGGTGAGTTCCATACTTTTTGATGTGACTAGCAAGGTGGGTTTCACCACATAGCTATCTTTTGGTAGCTCATTTAGCAAAATGAGTCGCTACCTCATTCTCATTATTTCCACACACACGTGTATATACATACACACGTATGTACACACACAGAATATATATACACACACATGTGTGTGTTATACAGGAAATAATAAGTATCAGATGGCGGCTCATTTTGTTAAATGAGCTATCAAGAGATAGCCATGTGGTGAGGCCCACCATGCTAGTCACATCACAGGTTTTTTTGGAGCTCACCACTTTATCTCTTGGTAGCTCATTTAGCAAAATGAGCCGTCACCTCATACCCATCATTCCCATATATGTACACATATATATGTATATGTGTGTGTATATATACACACATATACACATATGTATACATATATATGTATATGTATGTATGTATTTATGTATATGTGTGTGTGTATATATATACATTTTATTAAGACCCCTTTCTGCATCAGTTTCAAATATGAAATTAAGGAGAAATAATATAAGCCTTTTCCCAGCAAAGTGTGGTCAGTTTTGAAGTAATGCTCTGTTTGACTAATTTCAGGCTACATGCATGATCTAATTTTTTTTCTTGGGCATGATAATCATAGCTCCACAATCTAGCTGTGTGAAGGATGTTCTTTTGATGATTACTTGTCTTATATGTGCCAAAGATGAAATGGTCCCTAAATTTTTGCATACAAACATCTTACTAACTTCTGAAGCATGGGCAACGGCACAGTGTGACTGCTAAACTACCCCTCTTGTCTTCCATGACATATATGTGGTTATTTACATCTAAAGCTTTAGACAACAAAAATTTCATACTAACATATCACTTGATTCTTATACAGGAGAAGCTTTACAGCATGCTTAAGGGAAAGCGAAATGTAGATGTTGTTAAACTTCACAAATCCGGTGGTGTTGTTTCGAGGAGTGCTAAAGTCCGTGAACTGACCAGAAGTCTTCGGATCAGGGTATTTGGATTCTACTGTCTATCCTTCTATTTTTTTTGTCTGTTAAAGTTTCCTTTGCTTGAACGGTTGTCCCATAGCAAAGTATCCAAGTCAAATCTGTTTTTCCTCACCCTGGTGTCTAAAATAATATATTTGTTATAGGAATTTATCCATTTAACTATTGTTTTCTTATAAATGGATTGTTGTTTGTTTCATGCAAGTGAAGAAGCTTTTTTATCAGTTATTTATGAAACACAAAACTAAATAGATCTCCAGATAATTTTGCCTTCACTAATATTACGAAAGCAAACTTTTCTTCTGTATTCCTCTATAAAAATTCCACTTGTAAGGTTTATTTTAAAACTGCTACAATCATAAAATTCGTTTAATTTTTCTGTTTTGAACGACAGAATGGAATCTCAAACAATCTTCATTCAGATGTTCTTTATGAGACATAATGGTATCTCCAAAGGCAACTTATATTTCAAGTCGTCAATTTTCTTATTGTAAACTAAATATGTTTCCTAGGCATTTCTTTCCATAGTCAACAGAAGGCCCCATCTTTGACCTGATCCTTCATTTTAGGTTATAACCTTGAGGGTGATCTTTTACCTTATCGTCCTATGCTCCATATGAATTATTATATTCAGTTCTGTATATTTTTTTAGTTTTCTACATCTAATCAATTGCTTTCCCTTAAGTATTTTGTTGTTTCTTATTATTATTATTATTTTTTTTTCGGCTGCAGGATTACTTTTATGGGTCAGTGAAGGGTCTATCTCCGCATGCATATACAGTAAACTTCAACGATATATCTGTTTTCCGAATTGGTGGTGGTCCACAGGCACCTCGTTCAGCACTTCCTATAGGGGCAGAGCCTGTTGCAAATCCTATTCGACTTGTAACTGTCAGCATAAACCGCGAATTGCTTCATTCAGTTCTTGCTGTTTCATATGCAAAGGAGCAAGATCAAATTCTCTCAAGGTAAGCAGTATCAGTAAGTTGAATCTCCATACCAAAAGAATCCTTGTTGATTATATACCCACATAGAAGGCAAACATGCTTTACAGTCATATATAGCAATGTTCATATTTCAGCGAACGCACAAGAATCCTTACTTTTTGGCACTTTCCAGTTTCCACCGCATTTTGTCATGAACAGTTGTGGTTACTGACTTGAGTCATCTTATTGTTGAACTGGGTGTGATTGGCTCACGATGAGGTTATTTGCAACAAGTTAGCTACAAGAGACCTTATTCTGAAACTGTATCTGTTTAGTTTTGTGCTGCTTATCTCCAATGAAAAAAGTAGAAATAACAGAATTCATCAAACCTGTTTCCTTGTTACCTAAACCTTTTTTTTCCCCATTATCTAGGCAACCTACAGGTTGCCTTTTCTTTCTGCATTTTATTTCATTATATAGGCAATCCACAGGTTGTCTTCTTTTCTTCTTTCCTTTCTCATGAACAATGGATAACTTAATGCTTCATTTGTCAACTTTTTTCTTCTTCTCCTTTTTCTTCTTTTTTTTTTGTCGCATAGACAGCTGACAGATTTTCTGGCAGTAATGTTGCAGGGTTTGTTAATGTCATAGATATCGATATGCAGAGGTATGATCCTTCATTTACTCTTTTTTATTACTGGCTCTTTGGTTTATATTCTAATCTTTAGGGGTCATGTTATAACAGAAAAGTACTCACATATCTTTCTCCTTGCCCGGGAGAGCTCCCTGGAAAGCTACTGGTTTCGGGGACGCTAACATGGTCGGAGAGCTAGGGTTCTTTCGAGTGGTGAGGAGGCAGATTCCATGCTTTTTGTGTTTAGGTGCTTGTGAAAACCTTTTCTGGGTTTCATTAATCTTCTTCATATCTGGAATGTATAGATGACGGCCAGCAGCAAGCTAGGAGACGGTTCGTTGCTATCAACCTAATGCAGTTTTTACGATGCCAATACTGTCAGGAGTAACTTAGGACATATAAGCAGGCTTCAAGTTGTTCGGTTTGCTTTTCTGTTTTATTTTGATTTTATTCTGATATGTGTCAAATTTAAATCATGTTACAAGTACTGCTGTTGGTTGTGCTCTTGGCTGTCCTTGGTTGGTACCAGGATAGTGAGCATTGATGGGTCTGCAATTTTGGCTCGAAGTATTGTTAGACCAGCCGCAATAGAAGAGCAAATCTGAAAATATTAGATGCAGTAGTAGAGCAATTTGGATGGCAGGAGAGAGAATGAATTGGAAGGCAAAATTTGCCAATGGGCAAATCTGAAAACTCAGCCCCACACCTGCAAACCCACGCGTCCGACAGGTTTGCTGCAGGCCCAGCAGGCGCAGACGTGTCGCAATCTTATTGGTCCGGCTAATTTTCTTATCCTCCTATTTTTTTTATTTAATATTTTGGCCCATAATTAATTGAAATTATTTTTTTATTTTTACATCAATATTTTTCATTTTTCAAGCTCTATAAATAGAGCCTAAAGTTTGTGTCATTTGGACACCAAAAAAAATCTAAGATTTTTACACCCTATTTTCATTCCTTTTTGCAATCTTCCTCCTCCTTCATGGATCCTTCACAAAACTTTAATTTTCCCATGAACTACAACTTTCCCAACCAACCTCAAAATCCAAATATGCGACGTCCGGAAAGTACTCAGAATATGGGGATGCACCCCAATTTTCAAATGTTGTATATGATGCCACAAAATTTTGGCATGCAATACCCATACAACCATCCTTATATGCCATATGGCTATCAATCAGTCACTGGAAATAGCTATGTTCCATCCCACATGAATGATCCAAGCACGGATCCGGATGTTGATCCAAACACACCGTTTTAGTAGCGGATCGACTGATATCCCTGAATTTTCAACCCAGATATCGCTGGGAACTGCTGGTGGGGATACTCCCCATAGTTTTCTACCACCAGCCCAACAGTCAGCCAAGAGAACAAGTTACGATACTTGGAGCACCGAAGAGAACAAAATCTTACTAACGGCTTATTTTCACGTTAGCAATGACAGTGAATTGGGGACAAATCAAAAGGGCGATACTTTCTGGGGTAAAATTACAAACTATGTGAATGAGCGCACACAAAGTGGGAAACAGAGGACTTCAGGGCGGTGTTCAAGTCATTTTCGACATGCTGGAGTTTGCTGCAGGTCAAAAGGAAGTTGCACGTGCTAAGAAGCTGGAAATGTGGATGATCTTGAAGAACAAAGAATATCGGGATGATGAAGATGAATATGCATATAGGATGTTGAAGAAGGAGTTGTTTGGAGAATAATTTGCATAATCTGTGTTGCAACTATTGTTTCAATTTCTGTAACGTGTGTTTCATGCTTTGAGTGTTTGTTTGAATAAAAATGTGTTTGTTTGAATAAAAGTGTTTGTTTGAAATGAAAGCGACTAGTCTATCCACTAACTTCCGACATTGAATGCGACTACTCTACCCACTAACTTCTGACATTGAATGTGACTTGTCTATCCACTATATTACAAAAATTGAACGTGACTACTCTACCCACTAACTTCTGACATTGAACGTGACTTGTCTATCCACTATATTACAAAAATTGAACGTGACTACTCTACCCACTAACTTCTGACATTGAACGTGACTTGTCTATCCACTATATTACAAAAATTGAACGTGACTACTCTACCCACTAACTTCTGACATTGAACGTGACTTGTCTATCCACTATATTACAAAAATTGAACGTAGCTACTCTACCCACTAACTTCTGACATTGAATGTGACTACTCTACCCACTAACTTCTGACATTGAATGTGACTTGTCTATCCACTATATTACAAAAATTGAACGTGACTACTCTACCCACTAACTTCTGACATTGAACGTGACTTGTCTATCCACTATATTACAAAAATTGAACGTAGCTACTCTACCCACTAACTTCTGACATTGAATGTGACTACTCTACCCACTAACTTCTGACATTGAATGTGACTTGTCTATCCACTATATTACAAAAATTGAACGTCACTACTCTACCCACTAACTTCTGACATTGAATGTGACTTGTCTATCCACTATATTACAAAAATTGAACGTGACTACTCTACCCACTAACTTCTGACATTGAACGTGACTTGTCTATCCACTATATTACAAAAATTGAACGTAGCTACTCTACCCACTAACTTCTGACATTGAACGTGACTAGTCTACCCACTAAACTTTTCATTCAATATTGTTAAATAAACTGATTGGAATTCGGAGGTCATTCATTATAAATAGGAAACCACACATCAGATGAAAATCACTCATTATCAACACTTATCCACCAATGGATCTACCCCAAATGACTTCAATTTCGAAGAATACTTTCGACAACAGTTGGAGTTGGTTTGATGATTAATAATATCGTGTGTTGTGTTGTTTTTTAAGTAATTTTTAAATTTAATTAATGCCATTTAAAAAAATTATATATTATTAATTGCAAAATTAATGCCATTTTTAAATATTATATATTATTTATAAAACATATGTGAAATAAATAAATATGAATGTAGAATGAATAAATATGGTGGGGTATATGATAGAGTGATGTGGATGAAAGATAAAATATGGTGAGGTATATATAAAGTAAAAAGTACATATTTGCCTTCCTACTGTGGAGCTGAAAGAAAAGAGGGTGCTAAATATTGAATTGGTGGGGACATAAGCTGAGGTGGATGGAAAATATTGCCCATCTGCTGCTGATAGTCTTAGGGTATGGTACACTGAACTCCCCATTAACTTTCAGCAAATTGCAGTAAGCCCAAAATAACTTATAAATTGCACTAAACCCCCAATAGCTAAAAATTCAACGTGTGCGGATAAGCCCCACTGACGGTGTCAGTCCACATTTTGTGTTGGTGACACATTAAGATCCTAAATGTGTACTAATGCCATCGTGGCGATTGCCTGCAAAATGTGAGAACTTATTGGGGGTTTTGTGGTATTCCAATAGTTATTGCGGGTTAAATGCAATTTTAGAAGTTATTGCCGGTTTCCTGCAAAATGCTGAAAGTTCTTGGGGGTTTAGTGTAATTTAGCCATATTAATACATAGAATAGGCAGTCTAACGAGCTTTTGACTTGTTACTTTGAATCTCAAATCTCGTTCCATATTAGCATTTGTTAATCAAGATTGTCGCTATCATTTGGTAATTAACCAGATATCTTAAACCTTGGTTGTGTAGGTGATTGGTGCTATGATATTGGTTTATGTACTTTTTCCTTCTCGGTTGAATGATGTTCTCAGATTAATGCCTCTCCATTGTGACATGCTTTGAGCTTGTATGAATGCTACATTACAAAATTGCAAAATTTTATGATCTGAAGGACCTTACAGCGATTTCAATGATTTAGTGGATTAATCTCAAATTATTGAATTTGAAGGATTGGTAACCTTAATTGCACGTACAGCCTATTCTAAAAGTGGTTAGTTATTTGTAATTATTCCTTACAATTTATGCCACTAAATATGATAAAAGCCAAAATAAGAAGCCAACCTGCAAACTTTTATTCTCTTTGGATGGAATTGTGAAATATATGTACATGAAAGAGGAGGACATCGCATGTTATAACTCCGTAGCCAATATGTGCATATATGAAGGAAGAGAATTCTTAGCATGTTATTATTGCTCAATAGACAATGTGTGTAAATTAAAAAAGAGAATACAGTGTACTACAGCTCAATACTTCATTTTTTTTTTCCTTCCCTCCCTCCCTGAATGAATATATCTGCTTTCCCATACCTCTATTAAAGAAAGGGCTACGAAGCCCTTGTTATTCCTGCTAAAAACTTGAAAATTCATTCAAGAGCGACGAACCATTGTACACCAAGATTTACATGGTTTGACTGAATTCTTGTCTGCTCCGCATTGTAATCAATAGAGGTTGACAACCCATTATTGAGTCAGGGATACTGATCCTATTTATCACCATCCCTTAAGAATGAATCTTTTATATTTTGAATCCAACAGTCCCACTCCCAAGTATGTTTTATTTTTGCTTTATATAAGAAAATGTCCATACATGATATATATATAACGGTTTTCTTTCATTTTTATTTTATTTTATTTTATTTTCCTTGACTAGCCGAGTCCCCCCCCCCCCCCCCCACACACAACGCACGGACCACACCTAAAGGGACTAGAATTCTATGCAGGACCCCGCACGCACATGGATGGGGTGGGGGTTCCGAGACTATAGAAGTGGGGCAGGGAATTACCAAAATTTCTCCTCTTTATAATTTGAATGGATCAAAACCTCCCGCACGGTACAGGAGGTTCTGATAGGATGCGGACTCCCTGAAAGGACATCCGCTTTCCCATCTCGTCCATTCTACTAAAACAACTAAGGTTTCGTAGTCTTCAATGGATCATCTATTATAACTATTTCACATCAGTTTTATATTTGCGCCTTCTAATGCTTCAGAGATATCATTCGAATGACTAATGAAGTCTTTCGAACATACAAGCTGACCGAGTTGTTTTCTTTTCGCAAGGTATTCGATTCTTGCAACGTTGATTGAATCAATGCGGAGCTTGGCGCTTTCCTGATCTTGCATCAATTCGCATATCATAGATGCTACTAGACTAAAAGTGCTGCCATTATGGCCGCTCCTCTTCCTACGTTGGTGCGATTTGGAAAAATATCCAAATATAATATTTTTTTCGTCGAAGGGTTGGAAAAGGTTGTAATTTGTTGTTGTCAAAGAGTAGATTTGTACTTTATCTTCTGTTTGGTTTCCTGTTAAATTTGGAGTCTTGACAGTTTGATGAAATTTTCCTCTCAAAGATGCACACTTCTTAACCATAATTTCCTCTCAGAGCTGCATCCTTCTTAATCTTAACTGGTATGCATAATTAAATAAATAATCAATCAATTAAAGTGCTCTGTTTTTGTTCTACTACTGCTAGGTACCTTTCGTAATGAAATGTAGATTGCTGCAAACGTACATTCAACAGCAGCACTCAACAAACTGTGTACAAGAAAAGCGCGTCAGCTCGAGAGACGTTATGTGAAACAAGAGATTGCTCAGTAAACTATCTGCATTAGAAACAAACGAATGTTCTGTGCTGTAGCTCAATACACTATGTGCATATATAAACAACAGAAACCTTTCAGTGTTATTGCTCAATAAATAACATATGCGTACATGAAAAAGAGAGAACTTGCATGTTCTCTCAGAGGGCTACGTATCGCTGCTTCTCATTTCTGATAATAAAATACCAAAACAATACGCAAGAAAAATCCTACCGAGTTCTCTTAAACTATAGAAGCAGCAGCAAAAGAATGATGATGCTGTACGTCTCCATTTTACCAAAACTCTCTTTTCCAAGGAAAAATCTACAGGGGGGCACTGTAGTAAAAGTACTAGTATTTGTACCGAGTAGGAGGAAGGGTTATCCAAGAGATCACAGAAAGTAGTCAGGGGTTTTGCGTGTAGTATCTGGCTCGATTTGCCTTGGTGCTGGATCAAACTGGAGAAAGTTCTGATCCATATTCTCCCCTATTTCCAATATTGCCGCCATGTTACCACAACGATAACAGTAGTTCGGAGCACTGAATACAGTGACAACATTTTTATCCTGCACATGAACGACGATTATTTCATTTTAAGATGATAGTTAAACACCAATAGTAACAGTGTTGTCACTGGGGGAGGTATCCTAACATAGGGGTAAGAGCAATGGTGGTGAATTGTAGTAACGAAGTCCCTTCCGTTACATCAGAACTTCGAGTTGAGGGCTATAATTTTGTGCTCTAACTTACACTCGAACAGTACTATACCCCTTCTTGAAGTTGAGACCGTCAACCAAGTTGTCGGTAATCTAAATAACTATACGACCATGATTAATGAGGTATTGGTACAGTGAGTGGTTCCTAACTTCCAGTGGTGATGAAGTATTGTATAGAAAGTGGTTCATAATGTGCTTGCCTGCTTGGTCCTGTGAGTTTAGATTTCTTTTGGATTATATCTAACCTGACAAGCAACTAAAGCAAGTAGTCTTATTATGAAGCATAGTTAAATAAGTGAGCGCAGTTGCATGGTTGTATCCTCCAGACTCCAAGGAAAACAAGGGCAAAAAAGAATCTTACCGTGTAATTACAAGGGTAATCCAATATGTGACTTTTGATTCATTTAATATTTACAGATTCGAAAACTAAATAAATATAAATGTAATGGTAGTTCATACTTATATAAATAAATAATTCAGTTTCACCAAGCCAGCTCACCTGACACCAATTGTAACCTTCCATAACAAGCTGATGGGCTCTGGCAACAAGAGAGAGACCATTTGTGTGATTAAATTGTTGGGCAATGTCCTGCCCGAAAGTGTACCCAGCTCCCCTTGGTGATATTCCCCATCCACATCGATCATCTGGATCAGACCACAGAAGATCACACATCGGGCCTTCATGAGGAACCTACATACAAAATCACATTAAATGAAAGCGTGAAAAATCGTATAGAAGTCTGTATTATGGTTAGTAGCATATAATCCAAGGTTCCAGCGCAAGTGGATGTGCAAACTAATTACTCACTCATGGTGTTGTGCACTAAGCAGTGGCTGAGAAAATCATATTAGGAACAGTATAAATTGAAAAGGAACAAACAATAAGATGTGTAGCTACGGTATAAGATGATTATGACATTGAATGAACAAACAAAGGTAACAGCAGATAAAAACATTGATTTGCGCACCCAATAAAGTTAAGGTTATTTCTCCTATCATGGCAGCACAAAGGAACTAAAATCCAAATGTTTGAAATCGAGATATTAGTCTTTTCACATATCTGCAGGGGGTTCTTTAAAGAGAGGAGGAAAAACAAGAGGAAGAGGAAGTTGGGAGAGGTCAAGGAATGTGGAGTTAAAAAGAATCAAAAAGATGGTAATTCTTCATGCTTACTGCATAAAAGTCGAGCAAAAATGGATTCATCTTCTTTCTTTACCAAAAAAACAGAATTCAGAGAAATTATTTTGTCAATAGTATCATTAGCTTCACTACTGACATCATCACTACACTCACTACTATATTGTTTATCATCCAATAAATTTAGAGCCACATTGAGAATACACTGTCTTTCACAAAATTGAGCAAAATAAACAAGCCATTGAATCAAACCATATCCATACCTCTTGTATACGGTCAAGAGCACGAATATTATCCAAGGTATCCAATGATGGGGAAAGACCACCATGCAGACAGAAAACCTAAAAAATATAAGTACTGGATGTCAAAAAAATTGGCCAAAATAAAACATAAACAAAGAAGAATGCAAGAGAAACAAACCTGATTCTCAATCAAGGCTGTAAGTGGCAGGTAATCGAAAAGGTCAGTAAAATATTTCCATACATTTGCATTTCCATATTTTCTCAAACATTCATCATAAAATCCATACCTGAAACCAAAACCTTTTAACATATTGATAACAGCATCATCTTCAGAAGATGACTTAGAGAATCTTTAGATGCTAAGAAAAACAACCGTTAACAAGAAACAAACTAGTTAATGTGACTCATTCTTCGCCAACTTCTCTCTTATACCTCTGATTCTGATTTGTATAAAAGAGTTTGTACTACATAAAGAGATGAACAAGTAGTAGAAATTCTTCTGACTTCTAGTTACTTTAGTAACTTTACATGAGCATGTGACAAGAAGCCACAAAAGCAAGTTCATAAAATAAAAAATTGTATTACAAATTATGTATGATTCAGAATGTGTAACAAAATGCATGGTACAAAATAGGTGATGTTGTAAACCAGGGAGACTTTGACAAGGAATGACTACACCAGGATAGGTATAAGAGCTAACCACTTAAGAACCAAGTCATACAGCAGGATGACACTGTCATATAATAGCATGAAGAATAACAGAGTTAAAGGGAACCAACCGGTTAGATTGATCAGGCAAGAAGCAAACAACAAGATCTAATCCGTATAAAAAGATCCATATAAAGACCCAAAAACAAAAAAGACTGTAACACAATAAGGAACTAAGAATGACTGGTGAATATGGATGCAAGGCAGGATCATGAACGTAAGGTAAACTACTAAAAAAGCCATATGAAACATTGGAAAAACACTAATCAGAACAACACTCAGAATATGCTCTGACCTGACTGACAATTCTAGCCCACGAACATTGGGTTATTCTTCAAAAAAAAAATATCATCACCGTAAAAGTGCAGTCTAAGTTCTTTAAACGGAATGAAGAAATCCCTCAATGAAAAATCCAGATTGTGGAAGCAGAAGCAGAAATGAGTTTCTTTGAGTAAAACATAACAGAAAAAATACCCATGCTGTAACTAATATAAGCAATCTAAGTGAAGCAAGGATGGCATATTCCATCAAACAACTGCTTGTTTTCTTAGCAACATTGAATAATGTCATTGTTATCGAAATAAAACATACTGTGCCACATGATTAAAAAAAATCAATAAGTACTTGCAAAACTGCAAGGTATCAAAGTAATGTCTCCTAAAGGTAGATCAATAGTTATAATTCTTAAGCCAATGAATATCAATCTTTGACCAAAATTTTATGCATGCATCTAGACACCATCCTACAAAAATTTATCCTTCAGTCCTTTACGCATATAGCATGTAACATTCATACTGGAAATTTATTACTGCTAACTTTTTCAGTATTTGTTTCTTCAGCAGAGCCAGAGGCATAGTACTGTATAATAGAGTGGAGAATAAGAAGCAGTTACACTTGGGTTATTTGCCGACTCTCATGATTTCCTCTAAGAATTGTAACTCTGTCTCTGTAACGAACTTTCAGAGCAACTAGAAGTGTGACAGTCTCCACCGAGTAATAACCACGATCTGCATTAAAAGGCATCACAGCCATTTTTGTGGAAACATGTGAATAAAAGATTCAAAAGGTACACGTTAACGGATGCAACAAACCTGATCAAGTACTAAAAACTGATGAAAACAGACATTTGCAGAACACATAAAACACAGGTCATATTAACGAAATTAAATAAACAATTTGCAGCATGTGTAAATCAATAACCATGCCATTAGATTAAATGGAGCAAATACAACTTCTGTGTTCAACACATCAGTTTGAGTAGCATCCTCATCAAGGTTAAGTACGTAGTTAATAAAAAAGGAGAGAAGATATCATCATAAAAGGAGAGAAGATAGCACAAGTAACACAACTTCTTTTTTTCCTCTTTTTTCCTCCATAAGATAGTGCTCACTCTTAACTGGTTAATAAAGACATTAGAATCAGATTGAGCAGCACATCATGTTTTTGAGGCTTTCAACATTTATGCAGCAAGAAAACTAGCTCCCAATAAGAGTTGCCTACTAGACTGAAAAAACAATCCAGAAACATCCATCTGCCATGATAAATCAACCCCACAGGAATTGCCATATGCTACCAGAACTTTTCTATAACTTCTTTCACATGATTGACAGGTTAATCTTCCGCCTTCAAGGATTTAGTCCAGTATAATCTGTGGGTAAACCTGTAGCAACAATTCTAAATTTGCGCAAAAAACAAAATTACATAATGTGACTGCCAATCTTTTGTAGGATCTTTTACACAGATTTCATTATTTTGATATTTGCGTAACATTCTATAAGTTAAAAGTTAGATGACGGATCAGAAAGCATTTCCTGATGCTATTAGAGGCAAAAGATAAAAATCTCAAACATGTTTGAACGTTGATAAGTTAGTTTTAGCAAGATAAAGCTGAGAAGGTATTGCGTCTATTTTGAGTGCCTTCTGGAATATTTCACACCTATGATACTCAACATCCATTGGCTCTGCTAGCTTTGATAAGGGGAAACAATTTCTCCAAATTCAGTCCAAGCTACTGAAGACGCCCAAATTTTCATAATTTTGACCCACTTTTGACAACATCCTTCATATTTTACTTGCAACGCCATAAGTGCCAATCAAAACATGAAGTTGCTCATATGCACATGAAACTCCAACAGCTAATTTAGTAAGCTAAATCAGCTCATACTACCATCCAGGTTTAGCACATTCCACAGGCATCCAGATGGATTCTTTCCATAATCAAAGGCAAGTGCTGCAAAGAAAGTTTTCTGATCCATTCAGCACCTCATACACTGCAGGCTGTTTTAACATTATCATGGATTGTCCAGTGACTCCATCTTGATCACTTCCATCTAACATGCACCAAAACTGATTTGGCATTGTTCCACTTGTCTTTCAGTTACTCCCATCAAGATTCATGACATGACCACAATTTTAGAATGCCAAACCCTCATTGACTAACCTTTGAATAACATCAGAAACTGATTAGGACTCTGGAGAAAGGACAAGCTCACATTGGTACCTTTGGGGGACTATCTCAATTTCTAGTTTTGGAAAGCTTCAATAGTTTGTTCAACATGCTGCCATTATGAAAGTTATCATTACTGGTTTCCATTACAGTTCTACCTCTGACAAGACAACAAATTAAATAATTCGATATTTGGAAAGTTTCAAGAGCTTCTCCAACATGCTGTCATTATTACAGTTCTCATTACTAGTTTCCATTACAGTTCTACCTCTGACAAGACAGCAAATTAAATAATTTGATAGATCATGTTCTATCATAAACTGATGTTTTGGGGACAATTTCAATGACAAGTGATTGCTTGGACAACAAGGATTTCTTCTGGTGCAATATTTTATTGTGTACAAACAATAAACTAGAGGATGCACATTCCCGTTACAAATTTATTCATGAGCATCACTATCTTCCCTCCCTCCAACAACAGCTTAACCATGTACAATTTGATTTGGCTTTCACAGCAGTACACATCCAGAAATCTCCAATTTCTGGCAACTAACTATTAGCAAATTTATTACCACTAATTTACATCTACAATCTTTAGCGATAACTTGAATCACTTTTTAGTTCCAAGATTTTAAGCTTAAATCAAACACTGCAAGCTAAATCCAATATTTCTAATTGTTAAAAAAAAGACTATATCTTTACTCCTCTTTTATTCCTTCAAAGTTGGAAACTTGGAATAAAAACTTTACCAAATTCAAGTTGAACTTGTTAACCAATTACCTATAACAATTCAAAAAATTGCTCGAGCTCTTTGTAGGCTTGCAAGGCCTATATATCAGCTATTTTTTTTAAAAAAAAATATTTGAGTTCAAAAGTTACTAATAAGAAAGGCCCAAATAAAAAAATCATAGAAATTACTCCATATTCTAATTATCAAAATTCTCCTAATAATCGATGCATTAAAAATTTTACAAGTCACCAACCCTGAGATAAAACCTAATTCAAGCCTTAAACATCCTAGACCCCTTAGACTACAAAAGCTACCATCTATGAATCAGCAAACCAAATTTCACAAAGGTGACCAAAATAAGCCCCCAGAATTCGTTTCGAGAAGATTGTTGTCGATCTTAAACAACTCAAGGAGATCATAGACATGAATATCACCGCAGACAATGATATGTAACTTCACGGGCTGAACATTTCATTCCACCATTTGAATCGCCTTCACGTGATTGATGAGAATTCTGGCCTAGGGCTCAGAAAGAAACTTGCATTTCCTTAGAAGCTCGATCCGATGGTCAAGAATCACGTGCGTTATACCTTAATATCATGACATTGAAGGTCCTCCATATTGATCTTAGTAAAACAGTTATAGGTTAAGGTTTGGCCATCCATACATTTGAAAATGACAATCCTACACAGATATTTCTAGATTTTTTAGATATATCATTAGCAGTTTTTATCATTAGCATAAGGGATCGATTCAATAATCCAAAGTACAAAAAATATTGACGTACATAATCACCCATGAAGACATAATTTGTATCGAGCCGAACAACAAACGCCAATCTTGAAAAGCTCAAGGAGATCATGAACATCATCACGTTTGATGATTGGACACTTCATGGGCTGAATATGCCATTCCACCATTAGAACTGTCATTGCATGTTCATAGATAGTCTTGACACCGGCCTCATTGAGGAACTTGCATCCCCTAGAGAACTGAATCTGGCAGTCAAGATCTGTGTGCGATTGCATCATAGAATTCTAGGATTTTAGCTTGATTTTAGGCTTTTTAACATTAGGTTTAGAGGTAGAAAGTTCCGAAGACTCCATACATTTCACAATTATAATCCTAAGTCACAGATAATTCTAGTCAATTTAGTATCAAGGTTAGGATTACGAGTCATTAACCTGAAATTTTGTAGAAGTAACCTACATAATCCCTCTTAAAGAGACAATAAATACTAAAAGATGGCCATCTATCTTGAAGAGCTCGATCAGATTATAGAACTGGCCAAGGATCTTGTTAACAGTAACGAGGCACTTCAGGGACTGAACGACCCACCCCTCCATTATGATCCTCTTTGCCTGCTTGTAGAGAGTTTTGACTTTAGTCTCGGAGAGGAACTTACATTCCCTTGAAAACCCGATTTCAAGTTCGATATCCGCATGCATTATGAAAATTCTACAGGTTTTAGATGGATATTAGCATTAGGTATAGGGTGATAGCTGCAATCTTAACTTACTGATAACTCTAGGGTTTCTACTGGATGTTAGCATTAGTGTCAACAATCCAAAATTTCAAAAACTGACTTAAATAACCTCCCATGAAGAGATAATTTGTACCACAACAATCACCGCCAATCTTGACGAGCACAACTAGATCGTAGAATTCGACATTAATGTCATCATAGATGGAGACCAAGCACTTCAACAATTGGATGTTCCATTCCTCCATTACAATCGCCTACGCCAAACTGCACGGATCTTTGACCTTGGCCTTGGTGAGGAAAATGCAGTCCTTCAAGAATTTGATCTAGCGATAGAGATGTGTGCGAAGGAATTGTAAAATTCTATGGTTTAGGGTTAGGATTACTGTTAGGGTTAGGTTCAGGCCTCTAGACCCCTAAAAACACTAGAAGCTACCATCTTTACCTTTCAATAATCTCAATTTAGAAAAAATGGCCTACATTATCCCCAGTGAAGAGATAATTCTTATCTAGCAAACTGCTGCATATTGACCAATTCAATCAGATTGTACAACTGGCCATGGATGTCGCCGCCGACAGTGATGGGGCACTTCACCTACTGAACATTCCATTCCTCAATTAGAATTGCCTTTGCCGCAGCCAGACTGCAGAGGGCCTAGACCTCGGCCTCCGAGAAGAACTTGAATTCCCTCAGGAACTCAAACTGGCAGTCAAGGCCTGTCGAGCGATGGCATCATTGAATCCCAGGACTTTTAGATGGATCTTAGCATTAGGATTACGGTTAGGGTTAGGCAATCCATACATCCACCAACTGAAATTCCATGGTTCCTTTAGATGAATATCATCATTAGGTTTAGGGTTAGGGTTCGGCAATCCATACATTTGACATCTGCAATCCAAGATCTCCAACCACCACCCAGACCCCCCTCAAAACACAAAAAAGCTACCATCTTTACGACTCAACAATCGGAAATCTTCAATAATAATAAAAAGAAAACTGACCTACATAATCCCCCATGAAGAGGTAATTGGTATCAGGCAGATCCCCTCCAATCTTGAACAGCTCGAGGAGATCGTAGAACTGGCCGTGGATGTCGCCGCAGACCGTGACCGGGCACTTCACCGGCTGAACGTTCCACTCCTCCATCAGGATCGCCTTCGCCTGCTCGCAGAGGGCTTTCACCTCGTTCTCCGGCAGGAACTTGCATCCCCTCAGGAACTCGATCTGGCGATCGAGATCCGCGTGCGATGGCATCGTGAAATTTCTAGGGTTTTCGGAGAGACCTTCGCATTAGGGTTAGGGCTAGGGCTAGGGCTTGGAGGGGGTAGAAGATGATGATGACGAGGAGGAGGAAGAGGGAACGGGATGGCGATGAATCCTCGCAGGGGTGCGTTTTCTTTCTTTCTCTCCTTGGACAAATTTTCAAAACCACCCTATTTGAATATTTAACCGGACAAATTTTCAAAACCAACCCATTTGATAACCTAATTGCAAAAAACGACCCGTTTCAGATTTATTTAGAGAAACCGACCTGGTTTCAGCACTGTCGCTGAAACCAGGTCGGTTTTTCTAAAAAACTTTACGAAACTTCACGGGAGTTCAACTCCCGTGAAGTTTTTTCTCATAACAAAACTTCACGGGAGTTGAACTCCCGTGAAGTTTCGGAAACTTTTTTTCAAAAACCAACCTGGTTTCAGCGCTGAGGCTGAAACCAGGTCGGTTTTTGCAAATAAAACTGAAATGGGTCTTTTTTTGGGAATAGTTTATCAAATGGGTTGGTTTTGAAAATTTGTCCATATGGTAAAACTGAAATGGGTCTTTTTTTGGGAATAGTTTATCAAATGGGTTGGTTTTGAAAATTTGTCCATATTTAACCCCAAAAAAACGACATGTTTTGAACTTATTTGCAAAAAACGATCTGGTTTCAGCCTTGGCGTTGAAACCAGATCGGTTTTTGTGAAAAAGCTTCCGAAACTTCACGGGAGTTGAACTACCGTGAAGTTTCGGAAAATTTTTTTTAAAAACCGACCTGATTTCAATGTCAGAGCTGAAATATATTGGTCGAGGCGGTTTTGGAAATATATTGGTTTTGAAAGTTCGTCCTTCCTTTCTCTTTTCCCCCTGGTTTTTTTGTAATATGTGTTTGTGAGTTTTTTAGTCTTTTGGTCGAGGCGGTTTTGGAAATATATTGGTTTTGAAAGTTCGTCATTCTTCCTTTCTCTTTTCCCCCTGGTTTTTTTGTAATATGTGTTTGTGAGTTTTTTAGTGTTTTGGTCGAGGCGGTTTTGGATATGAGTGGAGGGCAATCGCTGCAAACTTTAATGGACGTTTCCGCATATATATGCGTAACAAGTGAAGTACAAAGGACAAATTTTCAAAACCAACCCTTTTAGCATTTTATTTGCAAAAAACGACCTATTTTGAAAATAATTACAAAAACCGACCTGTTTTCAGCCCAGCGCTGAAAACAGGTCGGTTTTTGTAAAAAAGTCTCCGAAACATCACGGGAGTTCAACTCCCGTGAAGTTTATCGAGAAATTAAACTTCACGGGAGTTGAACTCCCGTGAAGCTTAATTTTGCTTAAAACTCCACGGGAGTTCAACTCCCGTGGAGTTACAGTCGAAAATTTCCAGCGAACCGAGTCTCTGGCAAATTGTGACTGCAACTTCACGGGAGTTGAAATCCCGTGAAGTTGCAGTCCACAATTTGCCAGAGATCGATCTCTGGCAAATTTTCGACTGTAACTCCACGGGAGTTGAACTCCCGTGGAGTCTGCAACTTCACGGGATTTCAACTCCCGTGAAGTTGCAGGTCACCCAGCATGCACAGCTTCTGTGCAGGTTTTGTATATTTACCTGTAAATCATATATATGTCAATTTATTTGCAAACAACAATATATACATGATTCAACCATGAATTAAACACACACGATTATGTATATGAACAACAATTTATCTTCAAAAGTTCAGTATTTGAAAATTCAGGAAAGTTACAAAATTTATCAAAATAAGTTCATATACAACCCAATATAGCTCCCCTCCTTCCTCTCCCTCTAATATATAAGTACAAATATTCAGGTTACGAATGAAATATGTGTGTGTACAATTATACCTGTATGCCAACGGATACTGCCCCTCTAAGTCACGGTGCATAAGTAAAGTGGGTCGTCCAATATGAATGCGCTCCCATGACCAAATCTGTATCAACGTACAGCATCCCTTGAATTCTTTATTCTGCATCAGAGATACTCTACTCAATTCTCGATACAAATATGCCAACACCGCACTGCCCCACGATAGTGCCCCGCATACACCAAAATCCTCCAGCAGTGGCAGCCATCGTGCATGTACGAGAGTCTTGCTCGCATCAGGAAATAGTACGCACCCTATCATGTGCAATATGTATGCACGAGCATGAAACTGGAGCGTCTCATCAGAGGCATCCTCTGGTATGTCGCCCTGAAATGTCTGACGAAGCCACGATAGCTTCATCGCACCACTCCTCAAGTCGGGAACCTGTCCAAGTAGCCGGCCACATACCTCCGGCCAACTATGATCGTCGGTGCCCGTAACTACCGGTCCATCAATCCGGAGCCCAAGTATGACGGCCACGTCCTGTAAAGTGATCGTGCACTCCCCTATATGCATGTGAAAGGTGTTGGTCTCTGGCCTCCACCTCTCAATCAAAGCAGTGATAAGCGGCCAATCAAGCCTGATATAACGAATCGTCGAACACGGTCGAAAACCGGCCTGAGCGATCAAAGCTAGTACCCTCTCATCCTCTATGACCCATGCCGAATGACTATGGGAATGCTCGATCATCGTGTACTCTGGTACGGGCTGCACATAAAACGAGAATCAGTTTTAAGTATATTCATTAAAAAATTACATTAATCGAAGAAATATATATCTAATTTATTCGTATTACCTCTCCCGAACCAATATGGTCTGAACAATGACTCGCCTGAAGGTACAAAACGTCGGGATTCTCCGGTCCCGGATCCATAATGAATAGACCTGTGATTAAAATATGAGCATATATACAAAGTGCAATGAACACAGTATCATACATAGCATATTACAAATTGGTTCGGACATAGTGCAAAACGCTACATAATACAAATGCATGGGTGAAATGAACGGAGTTGCATACAGAACATATTACAAATAACGAGTATCATACGCTTCAAAGATAACAACTACGAATGACATAGTGCAAAACGATACATAATACAAATCAACGCCTAATACTAACTGGACACCTATTTTTGTTGTGACCCGGTTGATCACATCTACTGCACTTATTTCTCCTCCTAGCTCCTTCACGTCCGTCATCCATACTATTTCTAATACGCACGGAACGAGGGCGCCCCGCCGATCTTTTATACAGTGGAGGTAATATCCGTGGCCCATCTTGTGTCCAATGTCGACTATCGTATGGTGGACGAAAACACTCTTTGTAGGTTTGTTGATAGTTGTATGCAGAATACCAAGCGTCGACAAATTCATAATGTGAAATGCGAGCACCACCCTGTAGGTCGGAGCAAGCTGCTACAACATGTGAACAAGGAATCAATTGTAGTTGCGGTACATTGCAAGTGCACGTACAAGTGTGATCCACCAACATATTGACTTTGTAAGAGCGATTTTCTCTATGGGTTATTCCCTCGAGCACCTCCCATTCATTAAAACTGTATCGTACAACCTGAAAGGACTGAGCTTGTACAATCCGAGCCGCTAGCATTTCATCAACCTTCGGTGTTAGCTGGGAGCGCATATTTTCACCAAGTTCTCGACGTCGAACAAAGAATTTATTAAGCCTGTAAAAAGTTTTAGCAACTAGTGCCTGTATTGGCATGCCGCGTGCTCCCCTGAGCACGCCATTGAAGCTCTCAGACGCGTTCGTAGTCATCATACAGAACCGTCGACCGCCATCCTCACATAAAGCCCACTTATCAACATTGTTTGGACCCAAACTAGTTTCGATCCAATCATGTGCGGCTCGTGAAGTGAACTTGATCCTCTCTCGTATTTGTTCATAAACATATTTTTCTGTTGCACAACCGGCTTGCCAAAGTAAGTCTTGAACCTGAGCGTTTCCATACTTCTTCTTGAAGTTGTCTCTAATATGTCGCAAGCAATAGCGATGTGCATGTGGTGGCGGGAAATGTCGTTGGAGTGCTCTTGGAATTCCTTTCATCCTATCGGATATGAATGTAATCGGCCGCGTCCCCACACTAGGGATATGATATCTAATGCATGCAAAAAACCAAGCCCAATTCTCTGTATTTTCAACATCAACCACTGCGAATGCTAAAGGAAACAACCCGCCATCCGCGTCAACTCCGGTTGCAACAAGCAAAACGCCTTTGTATTTACCATATAAGTGAGTTCCATCAATGCTAAGAAGAGGACGGCAATGACGAAACCCCTCAATACAGGGCCCAAATGCCCAAAATACACCGGTGAACCGCCGTTCTCCGCCATCAACGGGGTCCGAAGATACTTCGTAGACAGTCCCCGGATTTTCTCTTTTGAGTGCTTCAAGATAATGAGGTAAGATCTCATACGATTTATCCCAATCCCCGAATATTTTTATCATCGCCTTCCTCCTAGCATTCCAACACTTGTGATATGATACATCCAAGTTGGTGGCTTTATGCACTAAAAGACGGATATCTTTCGGCCTTAGATCAAGATCCTCCCTCAGATGCGGTAAAATCAATCGATATATAAAAGAAGAGGACGCATTCTTGTTATTCATCTCTAATCGAGGATTGCTACAAGTGTGGAGTCCATTGTATGCCGTGATTTTGAATTGCCCACCTACTCTTGAACCCGAGCGTGAATTAAGCTTCCACGGACACCTCGCATTGCCGTCGTGGTGTCCACTATTATCTTCGACATCGTCATCTTTGCGATAGAAACAAACCACATTATAGCTTGTAGTATTATTTTTGGTTGGCCTGAACTTCACATTTTTTGCAATGGAATACGTGCGAATAGCATGGATCAATTTCTCCTTACTCTCGTAAAGATCTCCCTTGATGAATGAGAAGTCCTCGGCCTGTGTATCAACACCGCTATTAGTGCCAATAGAAACACTTTCCATCGCGGAGTTATCAATCCATTCATCTCCTTGAAGTTCATCGGGTGGCGGATCCTCTAAGCCGACATACTCATTATTAACATAAGCCCCGTCGATGTGTTGGTTTTCCCCGTCATCACGATCTATCAAGGTCATGCTATTAATTTGTAATCCCTCCTCTTCATCATCATTCTCGGATTCAACACTTGCATTATCTTCTTGAATTCCCGTGTTAGTATCGAAAGCATTCGAAGTGCCCACGAACGAAGGACCGCTCATGTATTGTGATTGTGTCCAACATTCATCTTGTTGAGGAGATAAAAAGCCTACAGAATCAACTTCAGGATCCTCCAACATGCGGGAATACATTCCTTCGTAGTTCAACGATTTGCCCAAATCTCTCTGATGTTTTTCAATGAACAATTCGACCGAACGCTTCTCGTCGTGTAAGACATGAATGAGACCCATATCGTAGTCACTTGATATTTGAATGCCACTTGTTCTGTTCTCCACAACAGGATAATTGCAAACCACACTGAGGTGATACTCACGTGAGTTAGTTAATGTAAGTTTGTGTAATTCATTAACCAAATCATCGAAAGTACACGATTTTGTTATGAACAACGGTCTCGTCGTGCCTCCTTCATAAACGGGCATATTATTCTCGAGGTAATTAATCTTCCCATCATAAGAACAGAGAATTACAATTCGATCATTCATCGTTACCTCTGAAGAGTGAAAAATTCAATATCAATATTACACGAAAAGCCAAATAAATATTGATTGTTACTAATTTTTACATTTAGGTAGTAACTCTAATTTCCACATTAATTGATAATTTCACCTCTAAATACGCAAAATTATTTAATACGTCTTCACAAAATTCGTAAATAATTCACAATTAAATTCTAAAATCTAATTTATATCATACATATGCAAAAATCTAAAATCTAATTTTTCTTCACAAAATCTAAATAATTCACAATTAAATTCTAAACTCTAAATACAATAATTTTCGAAATTATTGATAATTTTTTCTCTAATTTGACAAAATTATTGATAATTTACACACTAATTCTTCACAAATATCACAAAATTATTGATAATTTTCCTTCTAATTTTCACATTTATTGATAATTTTCCCTTTAATTTTCACATTTATTGATAATTTCCAATCTAATTTTCACATTTCTTCACAAAATTCGTAAACAATTCACAATTAAATTCTAAAATCTAGATTTCTACATGTAATCACAATCAAATAGTGGGAGAATACAAAAATTAGAGGGTATAGCTTTTTTAGAAAGAATTTACCTTTTTTTTTTGAAAATCGACTGAGATTCCGGTCGGATGCGGCGCGCGGCGGCGTGCGGGATCTGGGGCGGCGGCGGTTGGAGCTGGGGCGGCGGCGGTTGGAGGCTGGTGGCGACGACGGAACTGGGAAGCGGCGGTTGGGAACGAACTGGGAGTTTAGGTTTGTGGGCTGGGGGGTCGGGGGGGGGGTCACAGCGCGCTTTAAAAGGTTGCCGCAACTCTCCACGGAGTTCAACTCCCGTGAGTGTGCAGTGCCAATTTTCAGAGAGCATTCTTGGAAAATTGGCACTGCAACTTCACGGGAGTTGAACTCCCGTGAAGCTGCAGTCACAATTTCCAGAGATCGATTCTCTGGATTTGCTGACTGCAACTCCACGGGAGTTGAACTCCCGTGGAGTTTTAAGCACAAATTAAGCTTCACGGGAGTTGAACTCCCGTGAAGTTTAATTTCTCCATAAACTTCACGGGAGTTGAACTCCCGTGATGTTTCGGAGAATTTTTTACAAAAACCGACCTGTTTTCAGCGCTGGGCTGCAAACAGGTCGGTTTTTGCAATTATTATCGAAAACGGTCGTTTTTTGCAATTAAATGTTTAAAACGGTTGGTTTTGAAAATTTGTCCGAAGTACAAATAAACTAGCTTTATTTTTTTGCGTAAATATCAGGAAGAAAAAAAAACCATTAACTTTTGGATGATTAACCGTAGAACCCCTTAAGTTCCCCTTAAGTTCAGGGGTTATCATAAAACCTTATTTTAATTTTGAAATTATTCTCATGATATTAATGGCGCTGTTAAAAACTCTAAAAAAAAGTTTATTATACTTTAGAAGGAGAGAGGATTTACAAATTACCAACGAAGTATTGGGGATTTGAACAAAAAATATTACAACTATTTATTTTGAGTTGGACAAGTTGATCGTTTGGCAAGTAGGAGTTTGAGTATGTGTCAACAGAGATACATTGGCCAAATGTATGAGAGTAGGTTTTTTTCCTCAATTTTGGGAAATATAGAGCTATTTTTAAGTCCAACAGTTTCTCCATCTCATTCCCTAAAATGTGGATGGAGAAGAAAAAAAGAGGGTCTTTCCTCAAATCTGCAGCATTCTGTAAAAATCCTTCCTTCTCCAAATTCTTGAAACTAACGTTATCATAAATATCTCACATTCTCCAAAGAAGAACAAATATATATCTAATATTCTATTGAGTTTTATATTGTTATAATAAAATATCAAACATTTATTTTCTTAATAGTTATTGAGTATGTAGGATGTTTTATAGTTGTAATAAATGCCTAAATCCCTAAAATGGGGAAGCTGTTGGATTTGGAGCAAAAAAAAAAATAGAGAATTTGGCATTTTGTTTCCCCATTTTAGATAAATTATGGTGAAGCTGTTGAAGATGCTCCTAGAGGAAAAGTAATGCAAATTTTTTTGGCTTAACTATCATAACTTGAAGATGTTAGCATAAATGGGCAAGTGACATGTAAAAGACTCTTTCAAACGTCTATATCCTGAATTATTTTATATGAAATGTTTCCATATCATAATTTGCGTGGCACCTTTTTTTTTTTAAATGATATAAATGGTAGAGTGACACAATAATGAACAATTGTATATATTCATCATCTGCAAACGACATCAGCATTGGACCTATGTAGTTGGTAGGATTCAAATCACTCATGCTAAGAATAATTCCAGAAGCATGCGATCCAATTCTATAATTGCTATCCGAAGCCAATTACTATATATGTATTTAAAAAATAAAAATTTAAAAAAAAAACCAGAAATTTGTGACGTACTAAGATTTATCCTAAATTTAAACAACTTTTCGTTTATCAGGCACGTTCTGGAGACACATTTAACATCGGAAAAATACTTAAAATTTTTAGGGGATTAATTTCAAAATATGAAGATAAAGAGACTAATATCCATTTAGCGGACTAATATCAGAAAAATGCTAATTTAAATTATCAAAAATAGAGTTAGATAGTTTAAGTTGGTCCAATCATTTGAATGATGGTTAATTACTAACTTCAAAATTTTTTTGGGAACAAATTGATTACAAACTTTATTATCCGAGTTTGCACCATGTTGAAAGAGTTGGGGGACTAATTTCAAAATATTTGTAAGATTTGAGGGCCTAATTGTGAAATATGAAGATTA